TTTTGTACAGACAGCACTTCAGACAGCAAGTATGCTGTAGTCGGCAATCATTCGTTTTGGTACAGAGTGGGACAAGTAGGGGGTGATGTTGCTGTAGTCGAACGGTGAGACGGACGTGTAGTTCAGTTTTGGGCACGCGTACGGTGCTGCAGGGATTATATATAGGTGTAGTAGTACCTCTTCGGGCTCTTGTACACCTTTTTCTTGCTACGTGTGCGTGTTCTTTAGATCCTCAGATGGCTCCAGCACTTTCGTGACCACGGGCCGAGAGTCTTTGCTAGATTTTGGCATTTAGCAACTGGCATACGGTTTAATGTGAAGTCAACAACAACAACAACCGTAAACCCTGCCCGACACTTTTGTCGGCAAGATCACCGAACCATGCCAAGGGTGAGGTTAACGCGCGGATCAACGCGTTGTAAGAGGCAGAACCCCGTCGGTGACCCCGTTGTAACCGCCACCAGTGCCATCCGTGAGTGTACAGAGTACAGCAGCACGCGCGTTTCTCCAAGTCGTCTACACTTATGCTGCTACAACCCTAGAAGTACATTTTACGGAGGAGAGGTGACGACCTTTCGACTTTGCAGGAAGCCATGGTTGATTATTGCGAGACAAGGGGAGGTCCTTGCGATACAAATGCTCCCACTTTCGCTTGCATCCCGGTTTTGAACCCTTCACCCTTAACCTTGAAGCACCACCACCGGTTCACGGGTAGGTCAATGCGCCGTGGATATATTCTGCAGAGGTAGGCTGACGTGCACTTGGGGCATGCTACATATGTGTACATTCATATTATAGAGCAGCTGGCATACTACATTTTTTTCATGACCTCCCTGCCTACTCTGCTGTGTTGGGTACCGTGATCTCGCTTTGCTGTTGCCTTTGTTTTTGTACGTCTGGCTGTCTGCCCATCTGCCGCCTCTTTGTCCTGTTTGCTCCGTTACTCCCATGCCCTGGTGCGTAGTGCCTGCTGCTGGTACGTTACCCTTTGTCTTTTTCTTTGGGCGGGTTTGGGAAGCGTCCTCCTTTGTTTTTGTTTTGTTGTATTTTGATCGGTTTCCGAGGGCTCTTTTCTCGAACGGTCGGTGCGATACCTGTTCTTTTCTTTCTATCATTTTGTTTTCTTTTTCCGAGTGGTTTGTACCCTATTTTTGTTTTGTTTCCCCGCTGCGTCGTATGTGCCGGGTTTTGAGACCACGGGCTCCCCATTTGTTGTGGACTATAGAGCTAATGTGAGAAACAGCAACAACAATAGGGTAAGGCCCGAGCATATTTCCCAGGGAGACCACTATGGAGACCACTAATTCAAACGGTGGAACTCTTGACTTTTTTTTTTTTCACTTCAAATCAGCGCTCACAGCACCATTATAGTGCCGTCTACTCCAACCCGTGGTCACGCAGAAGAGGCCCTCTCTACCCTCCCTTCCTGCGGTACTTTGCCTTCGATTTTTAATGCGAGAAGAGTTCAGCACTCTCTTCCCTCTGTGTACACACGAACTAGCGCTATCCACTGCCAGGAGCGGAAGCGAGCGAAAAACTCAATGTGCAAGAAAAGCTCGCTTACGCCGGCATTCGAACCCCTGACCTGACCTCTAGAAGGCTTCGAGGATACCAACTGCAATAGACCACCGGGGCGACCGGTTAGTCACTAGAAAATTTTGTTGGGCACTATCTTTTGTACACCCATTACGGGGAAGCAAGTAAGCCCACGGAGCCTGCACCCACAGACGCTTTCTTGCTGTGCAGGGCCGAGAATACTCCCCATGCAGGGGAAGATTTCCATGAGGAGATAATGCGCTCAGTCTCGAACCTAGGTCCTACCAAAGTCACGTGGCTCTACATCCCTTCAGCCGTGGAGTCCGCCATAGCAGCAGCGGTCGACTGGACATGATCATCTGGTAAAGCACGATTTTATCCGCGAGGAATTCGTTCCTTAGGCGATGACCGTTGCGTTGAACCCAAAAGCTAAACGCAAAGCCTTCAATTTCAAACCCGTACCATACCCCTAACTCCAACCGTCACCCCCAACCCCCGCACGATTACAGTGCTGGGTTGGGGTTGGGGTTGGGCAGGTACGTCCTAGGTGGGTCCCCAAACCCACACGAACGAATGATATAGGGTGCTCGGTTGGTGTTTGGGTGGATAAGTTCTAGGCATAGGTTGGGTGAGCCGGCAGTAATTAGATGCAAATGAGATGTTGCCGGTGAGGTTGGGGTTGATGCGTTAAGGGTACCCGGACAACCTCCTGCTATGTTGCCTAATTTCGAAAACAAACGCAAGAGCGCCAGAAAATGCACTAGAGACACATAAGACCAGTCGGAAGGCATCGCAAAAAAAACAAGTCCAAAATTCTGGCACAGGGCAGCAGTAGAGACCGCTCAAAACGTGCTTTTCGCGCGTCTACCTCCACACGCATCCTTTGAAACCAAGATAAAAATCCACACCAGTCTAAATTCAAGTCAAAAGAGCCCAAACGGAAGGCGCTCAAATAAGGCCGGTGTTGCTAGGAACCTGGTCCATTGTACCAATATCACTAGAGGACACCCTTTAGCAGCGGGGGGGTGTGTTGGCGCGCTCAAAACTTCTTCTGTGGTGGTGGTATCGAGTGTCGTTGTAGTGGCCCACAATCTCCGCAAATCTCCGCAAGTTAGATCGACACCCAGTGTCTTGTACTGCTTGTGCTCGCCGCCACTGAACCCAATCTTCTGAACTGCAGGTTTACAGCAGTAGCTGATGCCACCAGCTACTGCTGACAACCCGCAGTTGAGGGGTTTGCGGTCCGTGGTGGTGAGCACCGCTGTGACAAGTGTTGGGTTCCGCCTGGTTCCGGCGCAGATTTCGGACCGTTTTCAGAGGCTGCTGCGACCTTCGATATTTCAGCCCCAGTAGTATACCTGAACGTGCCAGCACGCACGACGCCTCTTGATGATATCCTCTACTGATACTAGCACAACGGACCAGGTTCCTCCGGCGGGAAGGTTGTTTTCTTTCTTTGTACTGTTATAAAGTATGAGAAAAGAGCCAGCGTCAAAATCCCTTGTCTGGGTACCCTTAAGTTGAAGGTTGGTTCTGCGAGGCTATCTGCTGGGTACGTTGATACTGGCGCGTGGGCAAAGTGCAAGGTTCGCGGTGCTTGCAGCAGGCCTAGGCCGCTGTTGCGATAGTTGGATGGTGACGATTAAGGGCTGAATATTGGCGGGACTGACTGCCGTGAACTCGGGCGCGCTCGCCAAATTGCCCGTGTCTTTATTTTGCGTCCCCCTGGATGAAATTGATTTTGTTTGTCACTCGAAACCTTAGGTGCAGATGCGGCCGGCTGCGACACGATTGAGTCAAAGTCGCTGTCACGGCAATAATACTAGATAGGGGGGGGTAATGAGCCACGGGTGACGACTCGATACCTTGCAGTAGTCCATCTGCGATGCTGTGCAAGGTGCGAGATACTCTGCGTACCAGGCAGCAACGCAGCAACCCCGCACGCGCATCTCAGGTACAGTACTTTAAGGAATAATATTCGAACGGATCTTCCACAACCTTGAACCCCGTTGTACCCGGTCGCCCCGGTGGTCTAGTGGTATCCTCATTATCCGCTAGTCTTAGGGGTCGTGAGTTCGAATCCCCATGGGGTGAAAAAATTACGAAATTTGCGGGTGAAAGCGAAATGTAGCTAAAAAGCTCTCGTGAGTACCAAACTTCGACATTAGCACCGTTGACGAGGGAAAGGGACGGCTGGACCCTTCTCGCGATAAAAATAAAGTTCAGCACGCACCGCAGGAGGAAGGTGGGGCATGAAAAGAAATGAAAAGAAGAAAAAAAGCCCTGGTGTTTACCCCCTCCTGTGTGACCCTGGATGGTTGTAGTTGTACGAAAAAATACACTGAAAAGTGTAGTACTCTACATGCGCTGAAAAGTGTAGTACGCGTCTCACCACGAAAAATGGGGGGACTGTCGCCATAATAAATAGGACGAAAAGACACACACACACGCACACACACACACACACACACACACACACCCCGTTGGATCAGTACGGACATACTTATGAAGGTACTGGGTATAGAGAGATCGGAACGGTTTTCAATGTGAATATGTGGAGAAAACAACAACCCCGCTACCGCTGGAAGTTGGTTGACAATAATATGTTACATGCTCGCCCGCCAACAAGCAGAATACCTCCGAGCTGTGGTTCCTCCAACGATTGGCACCTGACAGCACAGCACTGACACAGACACAAATGAACACAGGTATCGCATAACTTACCCAAATGCACTTGTAGTGCTGCGACTTTGCTGTAATGGCAATGACTCCCATCTCTCTTACATACTTCTACTGCCGCATGCTGGAAGAACGCCATGAATGGCGCTGGGCACCAAAAAGAACCTCTGCCTTTTTTGCCCCTTGGACAGCAGCAGTTTAGTTTCCGCGTGACCCCTCCTGACACACGAGAGTAACAGGGATAACAAAGGTATCCGCCACGAGCTGTGTCCATGCTCCGTCTTGTGTGGAGATTAACACCGACGTGTGTGTGTTGTTGTTGTTGTTGTTGTTGTTGTTGTTGTTTCTCACATTAGCTCTGTAGTCCACAACAAATGGGGAGCCCGTGGTCTCAAAACCCGGCACACACGACGCCGCGGGGTAAAAAAAACAAAAATAGGGTACAAACCACTCGGAAAAAGAAAACAAAATGATAGAAAGAATAGAACAGGTATCGCACCGACCGTTCGAGAAAAGAGCCTTCGGAAACCGATCAAAATAAAACAAAACAAAAACAAAGGAGGACGCTTCCCACACCCGCCCAAAGAAAAAGACAAAGGGTAACGTACCAGCAGCAGGCACTACGCACCAGGGCATGGGAGTAACGGAGCAAACAGGACAAAGAGGCGGCAGATGGGCAGACAGCCAGACGCACAAAAACAAAGGCAACAGCAAGCGAGATCAAGGTACCCAACACAGCAGAGTAGGCAGGGAGGTCATGAAAAAATGAAACACAGCACAGAGGCCGAAGGCAACGCAAAGGGCATACGTAAAGGAGTATAGCAAACAGCAGGGAGGGAAACAGGGCGCAACAACATCAGTCGGGTACATAGTTGCCACAAGTGCTGCCTCGGCCGCCCTACTCGCTTCTACAGCAGTGCCCGGTCGCCGTTTCTTCCCCCCCACCGCCGCTTCCCCGACTCTCTTTCTCTTCGGTCCTGAGATGGCCGTACTCTCTGCTTCTGCTTCCCTCGCGCGCTGGCGCTTCGCGGACGCTTCCGCGTCCTGCATGTGCCATTTCCTCATCAACCATGCCGCCCCGTCCTCGACCTTGTTGTACCACACCTCCGGGTCCTTGGCGCTCTCTTTCCATTTACCCCCTTCCTTTTCGTCTCCCATGTTGAAGGCCACGAGGTCCTCTCCTAGACGAGACACCCAGTCGCTCTCCTGCCCGCCCCGGTATCCCACGCCCCCCGCCATCGCTCCTAACAGCATGCGCTTGGGGAGGCGGCTGTCCTCCATGCGCATAACAAAGCCCGCGAAACACAGTCTCTGTTTGCGCACGGTGGCCTTGATGGTTTCCTCGCAGCCTGCCTGGATGAGGGCCTGGGCATAGGACAGGGGGCGGTCTGAGCGTTTCCGCTTGCTCCAGCCGATGCACCGTGT